TGGACAGGTGTGTGATGAGTCAAGTGAGGGCAAAGATTATTCTTTGATTGAGCGTGGCTTTTGCTGATCTCTTGATGAATACGTTATCATGCTCGTTAATACGTTAACGTTGATGGTGTGCAGTTTTAGAATCCTTGAGGCAGGCTGACTTAATTTCCAGCCTCTGATTGGTTTAGCAAAATAGAACTCTGTTGATGCTTTCTACTCACTAATAGCCCTTATTCAGAACAGAGCTGGTTACACATGGCTGTGGCCTCTGTGTGGCGAAACTCTTCTTAGTTCTCTAGAAGGTCTTAACTGTACTGGGCTGGCCTTGTGAATCACTTGATATCCTAAGAAGAATGCCTTCCAGTGCCCTGTCCACATGCAGCATTTTGTGCCAATGTCCCCCTTCTACAACATGTTCCCTCCTCACATTTTCTGAATAATTCATTTTTTTTTTCTAGAAATCCCCCTTCTTACCCTAGAAGGGCTACAGCTTCCGACATCTTTTTCCTGTTTTTCTCCCATGGCAGCCTCCCGGTGACCTATTCCTTTGCTTGGGAGGGATTGCTCTCAGTCTAAAAGCAGGCAGAAAGATACACTAAAAGAAATTTTCTGCAATCCCTTCCTTCTTTGGGAGCTCAGTTCAAAGCCCTTCTACTTCCAGGGCCACTTAGGTCTTCCTCTTCTCCTGGGTGGAGCCTTCTCTGGGGTCTGTGCATCCTCAGTAGGATTCTGTGTGCCTCCGGACCTCTGTCCCTCATGATGTCCTCTTTTTTGGAAACTGACTACATAATATTAATTAGACCAGAAATTGTAAAATATTTATAATGTTGACTTCTCTAATATGTGTTGGTTTTTGGGTGATTGTGCAAGATACTGATCATTTTACAGGTAGATTTTCCCTACCCCCAAAGAACACTAAATCTAGTGAGAAAGACAAACATACTCAGTTAACAAGAATCTGCAGATTCATCCACCTATTTGTGTCTCAGTGCCTTCCAAAGACAATTACTCAGATGCAGGGGAAATTGTCAGGTAAGGTTACTGCATAATATCCATTGAATTTAAGGTTAGCCTGGATGCTATCGCACTGACAGCAGAGTGGGGCCTCGGAGAGGGAATGATGAACACGGAGAGCTTACGAGCTAGGTTAATGGTAGTGAAAACTCTGTATTGCAAATAGACCTGCCAAATACCAAAGTTGATGAATGGATTAGAATTATGTATTCCCAATAATTTTTGAGAAAAACCTAAGCCTAACGTTTCTCTTCTTGGTATTGTGAACTAAATGCTTGAAGAGCTTGAAGATCTCACTGTGAAGTGAGGCAAATAATACTATGTTTAATAACCACTAATGAGCAGATTAAGCCTATTCATGCCTTCTATCTGGGACAAAATTTCTTTTTTTTTTTTAAATGTTTTATTTATTTCTGAGAGAGAGAGAGAAAGAGAGCACATGAGTAGGGGAGGGTCACGGAGAGAGGGAGACACAGAATCTGAAACAGGCTCCAGGCTCTGAGCTGTCAGCACAGAGCCCAACAAGGGGCTCGAACCCATGAACCATGAGATCATGACCTGAGCTGAAGTCTGACGCTTAACCGACTGAGCCACCCAGGTACCCCGGGACAAAATTCTTAATTTTTCCAGTAAGATGCTATCCGTATAAAATAGGGATAATAATAAAAGTGAAATCATTTTACTTCAAATAGAAGCTTATCTGAGCTGTGTCCAGTGGCAAGGGGAATGAGTGTGGGTTTCAGAAGAGATGGACCTGTGTTCAAATCAACACTTATGTTGTTGTATGTGCCCCACTTACGCCATGTGAATTTCCCAAACCCTCGCCGCCCTGTCTGCAGAACTGGGGTGATGTGACCCATCCTGGATGACTTAAATTCTGAATAACTTATGCGGTGCTTGGCATATACATGGACCCTGTGATTCAGTCATTTCCTTAATAAAGAAATCCCACACAGGAGTGTAAGATGTGTGTGTGAGGGTGCCCATCACAGCACTGCTGGTGATGACGTGAGGAGGAGGCCATCCAGGTGTTTGTCGCTGAGGGGCGGTGAGGCAAAATGTAAGAGCACAAAAGCACAGTTCTTACAGGTAACAGACAGTGTCTCCAGAGCGACATGGATGAGTTTTCAAAATGTACTCAGCGAAAAATAAATTATTTCATATAAGCTCATTGATGAAAAGGAAAAACTACAAAAATAAGGAAACAAATATTTTTAAGGACACATGTAAGTAAAAGAATATGCTTTAAACAAATTATAAGTGTTGTCTATGGGGACAGAAGAGAAAGAAATGCATTGGGTTGAAGTCAATTAGCAAAGAAGAGAATTGTGGTCCAGTGATGCCTGTGCCAAGAACTCGGGGGTGTGATTACTTCTGTCTTCTATGCTTGTGGTTAAAAAAAAGAAAGAGACCAACAGATTAATAATACAAAAGTGGGTGACTCATACAGGTGGTCTATCCAGTATATTCCAGACTCTTTTCCCAGGCGCCCCATAACTATAGGGCTGCTGTTCACTCTGATATGTAGGCAGCCTTTTAATAATGACAACATTATGATGTAGATTTAAGAAGAATAAATTTACATTTATTTATTAATCTGAAATCTGAAATTGCATCCTAGAACCTGATTCCATTAGCTAACCCCATTTACTGAAATGCAGACGGCAGTTTAAAGAGCATCTGCCTCGGACATACCTTGTTATTGGACCAAAATTGGTTTCATTAGTAAGGTAATGAAATAAAGAGCTTTCAAGGATATTATTATTAGTCCAGTTACAGAGAGCTGTATTAAAATTAACTTGAAGAACAGTATCCTGTTAAAGGCACATGCTCGTATTTTCATTAAATAAGATTAGCAAAACCTTTGTGTTATACCTCTAAAAAAATTGTCAAAAGCAAAGAAATAAAGTCTAGGCTTGTTATAATATAACTGCTAGGCTCTGTTATACTGTGCTGGGTGGTCTGATGATTGGATACATAGCATTTAGTACTTAATGATTATTTTAGGACAAACAATTTTAATTACAGGGATGTGTCATCACCATTATAAACTTGGTGGGTCATTATCTTGGAAGTCCACAAGTGACATGTTTCCTTTCAGCTCTGTCTGCCTGAGAAGTGCTGAGCTGTGCACCCTCCTCCCAGCCCCAGTTCTGAGGCCTTCGCCCTTGGCTTAGCTTTGTTTGGCTCTAAAGGCACAAAGCACTATATTTTAGCGAGCGGTATGACACGAATGCCTACATCAGTAATCAACAGAGTCACACCCCGGAGAACACACTTCCAGTGAGCTCAACTCAGATATGTACTGAAAACAAGTCAGGTTAGTAATGAAAATAAACATACCACGTGGAGACAATAGACTGGTCATCTGTCATAATAGCCTACAGAATATAGGCCTAGACTTGAATTCTATAAGAGTGTGAAGCTGTAACCTAGAAGATGAGAGGAAGAAGAACGAAGTAGTTGTAGATCGCGGGGTGCTAAATAAGGGGAAAAAATGTAGCTGTGCTAGAAATGTGTGAATGTGAGGTAGGTGGGCTGATGGGTCCTAGTGAACAAGGGCGTATGAAGAAGACCCTGAGGAAGTTGGGATGCTTTTTGCTGCAAGTAACAGAAGGCTCAACCAAAATGAGTTAAAGTATAAGGAAACATCATCCTACATGATGAGAAATTGCAAGGTAGGATGGATCCAGGGTGGATTAATCATCCACTCAACAGTGTGTCAACAAGGACTCAGGCTCTGCCCACTTTTCCTCTCTGACATCTGGCCTATCCTCTTGGGCTGGCTATGTCACGGTCACACAGTCACTGCTGTGATAGTGGTCACATGAAGACAAAACAATCCTGAAGGGCTAGCTTCCTCTTGTGAGTCTCTCTCTCTCTCTCTCTCTCTCTCTCTCTCTCTCTCTCTCTCAAAGGGAAGCCTCTTCTAGAAGACCTATAATGAATTTTTGTCCTTATTGGCAAGAATCACGGCACCTTCTGATTTTCAAAAATTTTGTTTATTTATTTCCCCCCAAACTTGATTGAGGAATAGCTGACGGATATAATAGTATATATTTAAAGGGTACAATGTGATGATTTCATATACATAAACATCATGGAATGATTCCCAAGATCATATCCATCACCTCACATAGTTAACTTTTTGTGTGTGCGGGAGAATGCTTAAGATCTTCTCTCAGCAACTTTCAACTATACAATACTGTATTAACAAGAGTCACCGTGTGGTACATTGGATCCTGAGAATATAACTCAAAGTTTGTGCCCAATTAGTCATTGATGCAGGAGACAGGATTACCTCAACTGGCTTAAGCCAGTCAAGGCTTGCTCCTGGGGTATGGAGAGCATGAAGCCTTCTCTGAAGTGCATGGCTACATGAAAGTGGATTCATTAAGTCTGTGTTCTTCACAGCACAGAAGATGGGAAAGGAAGGGCTAAACACCAGGTAATCAGCACAAAAGAAGGGAAGGGAAGGGCTAAATACCAGGTAATCAATTTTTTTACGATGCTGTCTGGGGAGAACTTGAAGGCACCTGGAAAGAGAAAAGTGATCTCCTCTGAGGCTGTGCAGGTGGGCAATCCAGTGTTAAAGTGTTTGGGTGACTTTGTGCAGCCAGAGAACTTTTCTGTACAAATTTCGGGATGAGGAGGACCTTACTGCATGGACATTAAAAGCATGATGACCTAATTCCTTCTGCTCTTTTGCCACAGAACAATTACTTATAAATGTACACAAATGAGAGCAAGACAGCTTTGAACTACTGGTTGAAAGGGGCAGTCAATCTTCTATTCATTAGAATCTGCCACCGCTGTGAGTTCCCTCCTCTAGCATTTAGGGATTTCTCAAAAACCACAACTATGTAATCTTTCATGAAGCAGTGTGCTCTGACTCTTAAATTCGTGAAATGTAATAACCGAACTGTCTATATTATCTGTACTTCCAAGTGATATCCTGAGATGTTTTTTCCCTCTGTGTGTTCTCAGGTAGTGCCGGGCATAAAATGGATTCTCTCAGCACAGCGAGCGTTGAATTTTGCCTTGATGTGTTCAAAGAGCTGAACAGTCACAACATAGGAGAAAACGTCTTCTTTTCGCCGTTGAGTCTGCTTTATGCTCTAAGTATGGTCCTCCTTGGTGCCAGAGGAAACAGTTCAGGGCAGATAGAGAAGGTATGGAACATAGCAGAAATCTCCCCAGAGCCTGTGCATCTTCTATGCACCCATCTGGGTCAGCCAAATACGCACATCTTGATTCCAAGGAAATTCTGCCATTTTGGGATCAGAGAAACACATTTGAGAAAAATCATATTTCTTAGAATAATGGCTTAAATAATGCAATAATTATAATGCAGATAACACAACAAATGCAATACAGTCTCTTCCTTTCCATTGGTGCTCCCATGCACACGTTTCTGCAGTTTTCTTTTAGAGTTCGTTTTTTTCAATGATTTAAATATGACAGAGAACACATGTGTGGTGCTATTCTTGCTCTCCAGGATTGTAACTGATAGCGAAACATAGTAACACTATCAAAGCTCTCAAGTTAAAAAAAAATATTCATTAGTACATTTGAAGTTCACAACAGCCCTATGTGGCAGGTAGAGAGTCTTATCCCTATTTTACACCTAGGGAAACAGAAAAAAAGGGTGACTTTCCAGTTACAAAGGCTGCCACCTAGTGATTGTTCCATTGTATGTGTTTTTGACTGCTGTGGAAAGTCTAGATGAGTATTGCTTAACAACTCCTTGGGTTGTTACATCATATTATGCACATCATATTATCGTTTGTCCTTTACTTCTTTACTCCATATTTTGATGCACTTTCATGATTTTCCTGCCTTAAAGTAGGTATTGTAAAGGGACACCATGTCATGTTTTACCTGACCCCAGATGGTCACCATCACAGTGAAGGGCCTGGGAACAGGAGGGGAGGGGGCAGAGGAGCCTCATCGTAAGAGCCCTGTCCCTGCAGACGGGCAGGCAGTTGTCAGGGAACCTCGCTCCTGCGCTCACTTTCCTTAGCATGAATGAGGATAATAGTATCTACTTACAAAGCTGTTGCCGGCATCCAGTAAGAGATGCAAAAGCTTAGTTCAGTACTCGGAATGTGACATCACGAAATGTTAGCTGTTATCGTTGGTCTTTTTCCGAAACAGAAAGACAGATAACTTGTAAATATTCACTTTTATAAACTGTCTGTTGCCTTTGATACCAACCGAGCCCTCTGTTTCCTTCCTAGGTGCTTCACTTTAATCGTATTGCAGAACCATTGAAACCAGAATTCAGGGACTCAGCTAAGGTATGATAGCATCACTGCTGACCTGTCTGTCAAGTGCTCTCCAGCATGAGAGCGCCAGGAACTAACAGGGTGGGGGCTCAGTAGCAGAGGCCCTCGTTGGCGCCTAAAGGACCAAGCAGCATAGTCTCCCTTGGTCTAGTCCTTTAGTTTTCATGATAATTGCTACAGCCTATAGAGCTAACGTAATAATAATAATTACAGTAACTATTAAAGTCCCCCAGATTTTATCACACATCTTATTGTCATTCTTGCTCAGACTTTTTCTGTTCTTTTATGGAATGCGACATACATGTCAATATGGGACTGAGTCTCCCAGCCTCCTCTGTGAGGTGGTAGAGTTGTTCAGTGGGGTCACTGAGAGAGGACCCTGATGCTTTGCCTTCTGGTTAGGCCCCAAGAAAACAGGGCCTGCTGTTGCTTAGCGCACATTGCCTGGGACTATGATTCCTGCTCCTTTCTAGTCAGAGAATTCCTTTTTGGCCTCAAAATTATATGGATTGCACACATATGGTAGCATGTTTGATTGTGATTGTTTGAGGCAACACATAAATATATACAGGTTCAGAAAATACTTGCCTTGCAGAACCCAGCTTGCTGTGAGGAGATTAAAACTCGTGGCTTGGGAAACTTTGCTTTCGGGAACATAGGTGTGCCCCAGTAATGTCCTTGCGTTTGGATGCGTCCAAGCCATAGGTCTAACAGAAAGGCTCCTGGGAATGGATCTGGTGGGTGAGTGAGGTCAGTTCAGCGAAGGGTGGAAATGTTTAGTTACATGGTCACACAGAGAGTTGAAAGGAGCATGATAGGGATGAATCTGTAGGTACAGGGACGGTAGCAAAACTTGAATCGTCACCCTGAAGACCCCACTGGGGTCTCTTTATGAAACCTTGTGCTTTTGGACTAAGCCGTTGGGCCCAACAAGTGCTTGTGTGTTCTGCAAGAGCTCACAGTTCCGCACCCCACCTGTGACTAAGGTCAGAGTGCTGAGATTGCCGTGTGGGAGGGAATCTAGAGAAGGAACCTGCTTTAAACTCTCCAGCTCCATGTTTGCTAGTGCTCTTTACCCCTTTATTCAGAGGCAGCCACCTTGCTCCCTACTTACTGTTTTCACATTATATAACCTTCCAGTGGCAAGAAATCAAGCAACTTAATACTCCATTTTTTGTTTACTGATGCTTCAGTGCAGCCGAGCTGGAAGGATTCATTCAGAGTTTGGAGTCTTATTCTCTCAAATTAACCAGCCAGACTCTAACCATACCCTCAGCATGGCCAACAGACTCTATGGGGCAAAGGCGATGGTCTTCCATCAGGTAAGTCCGTCTGGAATAGTGGTCCACAGCTCTCTGGGCATCCCCTAAGTTTCAAACCATAAAATAAGTGAGGAGTGAGAAGAGCCACATGGCATTAGTATGTAAGAGATTAAATTCTGAGCTGACTTAGAGTTTCAGTGAAATGGTTTTATCAAAATCCTATCTAAAGTTGTGAAATACCACATAAACATTTTATTTTTGCAAAAACCACCAAAGTTGTCCAAGAAGCAAGGTCAGGGATGAAGCACAAAACAAAGTTGTTAAGAATTCTCTTGTGGATCAGGAAAAAACAAAATACATTTCTCACCCCTTCTTCAAAGGTCTTTAATGGCAGAGTACTAAGAATCAGTGGGAAGTACACCGGACTGGGAGCCAAGAGATGTGGATTCTGTTCCCTTTAAAGATAAAGTCATCTTGGGGCGCCTGGGTGGCTTAGTCGGTTAAGCGTCCGACTTTTGCTTAGGTCATGATCTCTTGGTTCGTGGGTTTTAGCCCCTTTTTGGGCTCTGTGCTTACTGCCAGCTCTGAGCCTGGAGCCTATTTCAGAGTCTGTATCTCCCTCTCTCTCTGACCCTCCCCTGCTCACTCTGTCTCTCTCTCTCTCCTAGAAATAAATAAAAAAAATATTAAAAAAAAATAAAGATAAAGTCATCTTTATCTTTAAAATGAGAGGATTAGACTTAAGTTCTTTCTAGCTTCAAGATTCTAACACTATTTATAGCATTTCCCAACAGTATGTAGTTTTATTGAGTGTTTAATATGTGCCGTTTACTTAATATGTTATAGGTCTTATCACATTAATTGCTGCATAGTCCTAATAGAACTACAAAATTGCCATTAATTCTACAGTTGTGAGGCAGATTCTGAAAAGTCAAGTTAACAAAGGTCACAGAGATAATTAAGTGGTAAAGCCTGAATATGACTGAATGGTGGTAATCAGTGGTGGGTGCAGAATGTCATATTGGGTCCAGTGTGAGAACTTGGTTATAAGAGAGGATTCAGTTCTTTATGCTGTATTTGCACACTATTTTTATTTGGATTACTAGTATAAGTGAATAAAATAGTGAATTCCTTAAGTTATTTTTGTTCATATTTTACATAAAGTTGAAAAAATGTCAATTATGTACAGCAGAGAATATCATTACCATTTTAATTACAGTGGCTTTCCGGGAGGTTGATATACATACCAAGGAGAGATCAAGCCTTCTGTTAGGCTTCTAAGAAGCAAAATGTAATCACTGGGCCTTAATCACTTCATCACTCTAGTCCTTAGTTTTCCCTTCTAGAATGTAGGGCAGTGACCCCCATTTGTCTGCTTTGTGAGGACAGGGCAGTGGGCGTAACTTGTGACTTGCCATTTTGCTTTGAGCATTTTAGAACAAGAACGCCAATGATAGGCCAGAGGAAACAACCAAACACTCCTGAACATTCCTTTTGGAAAGCTTTTTGATTTGTTTAAATCCATTTGTTGTATTAAGAACACGTACACATGGATTCGGCTTCCTTTCAGAGCTGCTTTTGTCTCTGTGTTGTGATTTTATTTTACTTATTTTTTTTAAGTTTTATTTTATTTTGAGAGAGAGTGCACACAAGCAGGGGAGGGGCAGAGAGAGAGAGGGAAAGAGAAAATCCCCAGCAGGCTCTGAGCTGACAGCTCAGAGCCCAAGACTTGGGGGTCAAACTCATGAACCATGAGATGGTGACCTGAGCCCAAGTCAAGAGTTGGATGCTTAACCGACTGAGTCACCCAGGTGTCCCTGGGTGTTGTGATTTTTAGAACACATAGAGCTGCAGGCTTTTGCTTCCCTTACACTATTTTTGTGTTGTGCTCTTGTCCTTTCCTTTTACAGCAATATCTAAAATGTTCTGAGAAATTGTATCAGACTGCGCCACAAACTGTTGATTTTGAACGGGCTCCGGAAGAAACGAGGAAAACTATTAATGCTTGGGTTGAAAGTAAAACTAATGGTAAGAATAAGTCCCATGGGTGTCTTAAAACTTTATTTGCATTGCTTTGATAAACTTCCTGAGTCAGTGCTAACAAGGAAGATGGGTGACGCCAGGACCTAACGTAGGCAGGTTAACAATGGAGGAAAAGAGGGGAGTATTTTGGAATATTCTTTACAGTCATTTGTCCTGAATATGAACTAAGCCAGGTCGTTCTGTAAATGAGAAGAACAGTGTTTATACTTTATAGAAGTTTTTGCACATTCTGTAATTATATTTAATTAAATTTAAATCCACCTTTCATGATTTTATTTTATGTTATTTTTCTTAAACAGTTTATTGTCAAGTTGGTTTCCATATAACACCCAGTGCTCATCCCCACAAGTGCCCTCCTCCATGCCCATCAACCCCCTTCCCCTCTCCCCCACCCCCATTAGCCCTCAGTTTGTTCTCAGTATTCAAGAGTCTCTCATGGTTTGCCTCCTTCCCTCTCCCCAACTATTTTTCCCTTCTTCTCCCCCATTGTCCTCTGTTAGATTCCTCCTAATCCACCTATACGTGCAAACATATGGTATCTGTCTTTCTCTGCCTGACTTATTTCACTCAGCATAACACCCTCAAGTTCCATCCATGTTGCTACACATGGCCAGATGTCATTCTTTCTCATTGCCATGTAGTATTCCATTGTATAGATAAACTACATCTTCTTGATCCATTCGTCCGTTGATGGACACTTAGGCTCTTTCCATGTTTTGGCTATTGTTGAGAGTGCTGCTATGAATATTGGGGTACATGTGCCCCTATGCATCAGCACTCCTGTATCCCTTGNTGTTAGTTTCCTGAGGAACCTCCACACTGTTTTCCAGAGGGGCTGCACCAGTTTACATTCCCACCAACAGTGTAGGAGGGTGCCCGTTTCTCCACATCCTCGCCAGCATCTAGAGTTCTCTGATTTGCTCATTTTAGCCACTCTGACTGGTGTGAGGTGGTATCTCAGTGTGGTTTTGATTTGTATTTCCCTGATGATGAGGGATGCTGAGCATTGTTTCATGTGTCTGTTGGCCATCTGGATGTCCTCCTTGGAGATGTGTCTCTTCATGTGTTCTGCCCATTTCTTCACTGGATTATTTGTTCATGATTTTAAAATAAACCTTCTAATTGTCAAATATTTATTTAATAATTAGCAGATTTAGTATTTAGATTTAAAGATGTATTCATTTCATTATTAAAAAAATCTAGTTAAGGAAAGATTTAAAGAAAAAAAGGAGAGAGAATAATATAATAATATATATTATAATATATAATATAATGAATATAATATATTCATTCATATATGAATGAATATATGTGAATTATATATGAATGAATAATATAATGAATCCTAATTTACCCATCACTCAGCTGCAAGATTTATTACTTAAGGCCAATCCTCTACCCATGCCCTTGCTCTTTTCTCACTGCCTCTTCCACAAGACCCAGATATCATCTTTTTTCTGGTTGTTTCTCTCAAAGATATAAATTATTTAAAAGAAAATACCACGGCACCATTATTACATATAGAACATTTAAAATAACGATTTCATATTAACAAATGTGCAGCGAGTTTTTGTATTTCCTCAATTGTCTGGTTTTTGTTTGAATCAGGACCCAAATAACATTTATACATTGCAGTTGGTCAATACGTTTCTTACATCTTGATTATTTCATTTTATTAGTTTACTTTGAGAGAGAGGGAGAGCGCACAAGCGGGGGAAGGGGGGGGCGGAGAGAGGGAGAGAGAGAATCTTAATCTCCATGCTCGGTGGGGTGGATGATATGGGGCTTGACCCCAAGACCCCTGGATCATGACCTGAGCCGAAAGCAAGAGCAGTATGTACTTAAGAATCAGTGGTTCTCGGGACGCCGGGGCGGGGGTGGGGTGGGGGGGTGGGGGTGGGGTGGGAACCTCTTCTGGATTTTTAAAGTAAACTTTTTTGACTGAAATATATATACTTATAGAAAAGTTCATACATTATGTGTTTGCTGTTTGATGAATTATCACAAAGCAGAAATTATCACAAAAGCGAATGCCCTCTGGTAACACCCCTCTACCTCTAGCAGGTCAGAGAAATGAAACATTAGTTACTAGGAAGGGCACCCTCCAAGGCCACTCTCCGGTTTCCTGCCAGAAACCTACCCACCCTATTGCCAAGCATTAAGATTTCTCTGACCTCTTTTACTACATATTAGTTCTGCCTATCTTAATATTTCATGTGATTGGAATCATAAAGCATGTGTTTAGGGTTTTTTAAGGTCAGCGTTCTGTGAGATTCATCCATGTAACTACATGTTGCATAGTTTGTTCATTTTCATTGATGTCTGTTTTGTTCTCTGAAAATACCTAAATATATTTATCCATTCTACTGAGTCTTCATGAACACTTGGAACATTTTTAGTTTGGGTCTATTATGAACAGCACTGCTATGAGCATTTTGATACACATCTTTTCGTACATATACTGTCTGTAATTTTTTTGGATGATACCTGGAAATGAAACTGCTGATCATATAAGATATGTGTATATTTAATTTTAGTAGATACCAAACAGAATCCGAAGTAGGCCCCAGGCTCTGAACTGTCCACACAGAGCCCAATGCGGGGCTCAAACCCACGGTCTGTGAGATCATGCCCTGAGCCGAAGTCAGACACCTAACCGACTGAGCCACCCAGATGCCCCTGAACTCTGCTTTTGGTTTTCCCAATCCTTTAATAATGTTGACAGTTCTGCTCAGCTGCTGTGTCTCTTTTAGTCACTTTCCGCTCAGACCGTCAGCCTCTCCAATGCTTATGATGAGCGGTTCTTCACAGACAACCCAGGGCAGAATTAAAAAAAAAATGTATTCAGCTTTTCTTACAGTTCTTGCCAGGGATGTCTGTTATAAACTGCACTCTTATTGCCTAAAGAAATCCCTTTACATCTCCTTTGATCTAATCATTCCCCCTCCTTTTATCCTTATTGAAAGTTTGTTGAAGATGTTTGCCTGCAGTTTCTCATAGTCCACATGATGGTGAATACGGTTTGAAATGTCCCTTCCTCTGTTTTTATATTTCTTACAAAGTGGCAGTTAGACCTAGAAACTCGATACGATTCTTGTGGGCTTTGCTTGTTTGTTTTTTACTGTTGATGAATATGCTTCATTGGAGGTGTTGTGTTTCCATCGGGAAAGAAATAATATCTGGATGCCTCTCTCCTTTTTTTAATCATGTTAGTGGCCTGTGATGGCAATTGCTCAGGTCCATTATTTCACTGGGGGTTATAAAGTTGCAGTATTCCAATTCTTGTGTTCCTTCTTAATAATCTGGAACATGAGACACTTCTTGTGAAATATTTGGTTATTCTAAGTACGGTTGCTATGAGAAAAACAAAAACAAGATGCCAGATTCTTTCTGTTCGGTACCAGTTTTTGAAACAACTTTTACTGCCTCCTAGCATCCTCAAAGACAACCGAGTTTTCTCTTTTTCCTCAAAGATTTTTTAAAATATTGTTCACTTATTTTGAGAGAGAGAGAGCGAGCGAGTGAGTGAGCGAGCGCCTGAGCAGGGGATTCAGTCAGCACAGAGCCCGACGTGGGGCTCAATCCCACGAACTCTGAGATTATGACCGAGCCAAAATCAAGAGTCAGGTGCTTAACCAACTGAGACACCCAGGTGCCCTGAGTTTTCTTTTTAAAGTGTCATTGTGAATTCAGAAATTTAAACATTTTGAGATGTTTCAGTTCTGTCCCCTTTCAGTCAGGGGTCACATCTGTATTTTGGCTCTTAAGTCCTTTCAACTCTGCCCTTGCGGAATTTGATGATTTCTTTGCTTTCTGATCTGACCAGATGTTCCAGACTCATGTCCTGCTGCTGACCTAGATTCCTCATGGGAATCCTGGATCATTTTGATAAGAAATGATGTTAGAGACCATAGTCTGGGTACAAGAGTTCTCATTGATACTGGCATGGTCATTGTTTAAAGGCCTTCTCAGTGAATACGTTTTTTTTTTTAGGTGAAATACAGCATAATTTCTCGCTGATATGACCAATTCAAATTCAGGTTCATGGGATTTTTACTTAACACCCCTCCCTTTTTTGCATCTTTTTCCCTTTTATCTTGTGTCAAAAATCCCAGATTCCAGTATCACCAATATTATTGCAAAATCACTTCATTCAACAATATACACAGTCTCAAAATAACAATACTAATAAAGTATAACACTAGAGTAAGGTGTTGTTTGGAGTGATTTTTGTCCTTAGGTTATATCCCACTAGAGACGCACAAAGTACCATGCTGAAATAATCCCCATCTCTGTGGTTATGCCATCAACTCATCGTACCAGTAGTTTCTGAGGTTTATGAATGTAGACAATTATATTCCTTGATATAGGAGAAATAAAGTTTATTAAGTAATACAATTAGGATGAAATAACATCAAAGTATTAAATTAAAGCTAATTCCATTTATGAAGAACATATCAGAAATATAAACTAAATACTTCTCTGAGCATAAAGACTGTCTCTAACATATTTGTATCTCATTATTTCATTTATTAGTAAACTCTCAACGGTATTTTGTTGATTGGTGGACTGATGATGTTATTCAAGTTTAGTAATAGGTGACAAAATTAAAATATGTATTTATTCAATTCTTTGTGTTAAGTTAGAAAATACTTGGAAAAGTCCACAAATTTTCAGATCTGTTAATTTACTTAGAACAGTAGTGGGAAAATTAAGCTTCAAATCTGATGTTCCAGATTTCCTTCTGTTTCCTATTGATAGACTATATTGCATAAAGGTTTTGAAAATTGCAATGCACCAAGGTGCACCAAGGGGGCTTGGTATTCAGTTTGATCAGTATATTAACAAAGCAGTAAACATCTTGTACGTTTTTATAAATTCTGATTTTTAGGTACGTATTTACTTTAAGTGTTGGTATATACTTGTGATACACGAATTGCTAGTACATTGTAAGAATGAGTGAATCTTTTGAATGGGTGTGATGAGGTGCTGGTAAGTATGAACTCTGATAACTTAAAGGGAAGCCAGAAGAAATTATTAAAGATATTCTAAATAAGCAGTAATGCATAGGAAGGCATAGGATATAACTTGTATAAGACAAGTTGATCATTAGCTGATATATGAGCTACTCTCTGGATGCCTCCTTCTGATTAGAAGTAACAAAGCATTCAATTATTTGACATAAACTTCATTTGACAAGGGTAGCCTAACTGGTCAGGAGATAAAGGGGTTCTTCTGGCATCTCAAATTTATAACTAACCTTAAAAAAGAAATGGTTCCAGGGACGCCTGGGGGACTCAGTCGGTTAAGCTTCTGACTTCGGCTCAGGTCATGATCTCACAGTTCGCGGGTTTGAGCTCCTCGTCCAGCTCTGTGCTGACAGCCCAGAGTCTAGAGCCTGCTTCGGATTCTGTGTCTCCCTCTCTCTCTGCCCCTCCCCTGATCGTGCTCTGTCTTTCTCTCAAAAGTAAATAAACATTAAAAAAAAAATAAAAAGAGAAATGGTTCCAGATTTCTACTGACTGTTCAACTCTTTGTTATCAGTAAACCCAAATTCTAATCCAAATATATTATCTGTTTTTTTTTTTTTTAAATCATTGTTATAAGGAAAAGTCACAAACCTCTTTGGAAAGGGCACAATTGACCCCTCTTGTGTAATGGTCCTGGTGAACGCCATATATTTCAAAGGACAATGGCAAAATAAGTTTCAGGAAAGAGAGACAATTAAAACCCCTTTTCAGCTAAGTGAGGTAAGTATTTTGTTTTCAGACTGATGATAAATTCTGGAGAATGCAATAATAATTTAAGGATAATTTAGAATGTTTCAGTGAAAATACTGGCCTAGGTTTCTGTAGGTTTCTTTCTTTTTTAATGTTTGTTTGTTTATTTATTTGCTTGTTTGTTTGTTGAGAGAGACAGAGCATGGATGGGGGAAGGGTAGGGGTGGGGGCACAGAATCAGAGGTAGGCTCCAGACTCTGAGCTGTCAGCACAGAGCCTGACGCGGGGCTCAAACTCATGAACTGCGAGATCACAACCTTGATCGAAGTTGGACACCTAACTGACTGAGCCACCAAGGGACTCCTCCATAGGTTTCCTTTATTGTGTTTCCTATGTATTTTATTTTCATTTTTCCTCATGAAGCGACAGTAACCATTCTCACAGGGCCCCTCACTGGAGCCTTCGGACACTGGGACCTCTCTCACAGAGAAGAGAGCCTGCCCTTTCCCCCCTGTTCTATCCCTGCATTCTCGCCACGTGTGCTGGGGCTGTTTTCTCAGCACAACAGAACTATCCGTATTACTTTTCTCCTAGAGAGCCTCCAGTTGGATCAACAAAGAAAATGATCCTATGATGTCATTTTTCAATAATGATTTATTTTAAAATAAAAAATTCATAACCTTTGCAAAGGAAAGTAATAAAGGGTGTACTTTATTGTTTTTATTTTACCCATGCCTTTAGTGTTAATGCAGATACTCATGTTTTGCAAAAAAATCAGTATATATACATGTGCATGCAAATATGTGACTCTTCTACCTAATAAACCCCCCTTTTTTTTAAATAGGGTAAAAGCAAAATGGTGGAAATGATGTATCAAACCGGAACATATAAATTAGCCTTGATAAAGGAGCCGCAGATGCAAGTTCTGGAGCTTCCCTATGTTAACAACAAACTAAGCATGATTATTCTGCTTCCCGTAGGCACGGCCAGTCTAGAGCAGGTAAAGTTAGAGAACGCTAATGTGCAGAGAAAGCACGTGTGCACGTGTGTGTGCGCGCGCTCGTGCACACTCACACCCCCACCCACACGACGCTTGTGTGGTCAGTTCCTAATTCAGTCACACGCTGGGTTCGGTGGTATTGCTCCCCAGCTGTGAGAGGAAGGGGACCCTGGTCCCTGCCTTCTATGTAAAAGAGGGCGCAAGTCCCCAAAGGTGCCATCTTGTACTAACACAGCACTTCCTGGTCCCTTGACATCTGGGAAACGTATTTGTGTGGTGCTGGAATTGTAACGCCGGTCAGGGCCGCAGTCCACAGCAGTCTGACTAAGCCATCTTCCACTTAGGCCGTTTTTCCAACCCAGTTATAACAAGCTTTCATGAGCAAACCGCCCTTTTAAGCATCCTGCTCTCGTAGGGGAAATGGGTGCCGCAGCCATTGAGAAGAGGTCATGGGGGTGGCAGGGATTCGAGTCCAAGCCCCCCTCCCTGGCCGCAGCCCACACTGCCCAGCACAGAAGCAGACAAGCCAGTGACATGGAGTGACTGCGCCTCCTCAGCCCTGCTAGACCCCCCAGTGCTCAGCGGGAATGGCAGGCAGAGGAAGCCGACATGCACACACGGATGGGAGGCTCACACCGAGGGTTTCTAAGTCTGGGAGTGCCTGCCTGAGGTTAAACAATGTGGCCGGGGTGGGGGGTCGGGGGGGTCGGGGTAGGGAAGGCTTCTTGAAGCCCCTGGGTTGGTTCCCTTCCTCTAGGAAGAGAAGCATGGCTGTGGCCAAGAGAGCAGGTGTGACACCAGCGTGACCGGCTCAGGGCTCAGACCTCTGGGCCCCTGTGCTGGGCTGCCAGGGAAGATATTTGGAGGCAGGTAGCATTTTGGAAGTTTAGAAGTGGTCTTTCTTAGCTTGTGATGCATTCATTGATTTGTTCATTTGTCCATTCACACACCAGACATTGAGTGTTTATGCTGAGACTTCCAGTGGGTTCTGGAACATAGACAAATGTGGGGTTCCAACACAGAGTTATAAATATCATGTAACAAGTGCCGTGAGACTCTGCCGGACGTCCTGTGGGAGTAGAGGGAGTAGAGAATGAGGGGATCCGGAAGGCTCCCAGGAGAGTGATCTCGACATCTCGCAGGAGGAGAAGGAGAAGATGAAGAGGTGAACAAGGGGGCCCTGTGGTTCCAACTAGAGCAAAGAGCACATGAAAATGAGGCCAGCAAGGCAGAGTTGCATCATGGTAACGTGGATCAGGGCAGAGAAGGACAAAAGGGAAAGATCAGATGAGAAACCACCTTTAGTTTATGTCCGATTGTATATCGTCAGGATGGAGGGAAGGTGACAGAAAGTTTTCATCTCTTGTTGTGGAGTGATGGGGTTTGGCCTGCTGGTCTTAGAGCCGTGGAGAAGACTGGCTGGGGGTTGGGGGGTTCACATGCCCAAGGAGCGCGGTGTGAAGGGCTTACGCAGCATTGTGGCACTGTGTGGAGCCCGGGGTGGAGGATGAGCCGGGGTCAGTGGGCCGCGTGGCTGGGCGGAGGCGTGGAAGGTGTGTAGAGCTGAGCTGCGGGGGTCGTAGCATAGCAGACTCAGTGGGGGGAAGGTCACGGACAGGAGGGAAGTCAAGTGTGATGCGGGGGTCCCGGCGGCACAGAAGTCCAGTGAGAAACAAGTTTATATTAGAGGGTGTGATTTAATGTTTCAGCATTGAGAACCAAATCAAGAAATGGTGAATTCATCCAGGAAACACAAGGACCTCAGAGGCAAGAGAGGGAGTTTAGGTGAAGCCTGGCCCTGAGGGAATTAGGGCAGGAGACTGTAGGATACACCTTCGGGGCGTTTGCTTATGAAACATCGATGAAAAGTAGACCATAGAACAGGGAAGACATGGCTCAGTGCAACATTCTTTCTGTTTTTTTTTTTGTTTTTTTTTTCCCAGATGGGACTTGAGCACATTTTCAAGGTAGAAAAGAAAGCAATACATCAAATCTTTCGCACTGAGAATTATATAAGCGAATGGCATATAATGCCGCAGGCACGTGTTTGGCTCACATGGGCTCATCTGTGTTTTGTCTCTTAGATAGAGAAGCAGCTGAACATGCAGACGTTTTATGAGTGGACCAGCTCTGCTAACATGGTAGAGAGGGAAGTTGAAGTCCATATCCCCAAATTCAAACTGGAAATCAAGTACGAGCTAAATTCTCTGCTAAACTCCCTTGGGATGACAGATATCTTCAATGAAATCAAAGCTGATCTCTCTGGAATGTCACCAGCCAAAGGCCTGTATTTATCAAAGGTCATCCACAAGTCATACGTGGATGTCAATGAAGAGGGGACTGAGGCGGCAGCAGCCACTGGGGACAGCTTCGTTGTAAAAAGACTCCCCATCCGGGCTCAGTTCATGGCGAACCACCCCTTCCTGTTTTTCATAAGGCACCTTCCTACCAACATGCCCCTCTTCTGTGGCAAACTCGCTTCCCCCTAAACAGGTGGGGCTGAGCGAGGCTCAGGGTCACAGAGGAGGGACAGGGACAAACCCATGACTAAAAGTAGCTCATCCCTTGCACAACTCTTTGCTCATCTGCAAAATGGGTCTAGGATCTCTCTCAACTTATACCTTGAATTGGTGAACTCTAAGATTATGGAAATCATGGAAGAAGGTACATTTACAAAAAAGTTTCTCTGGTTCTCTTATCTCTGGGGCCATTTAAGTGCTATCTGGTGACATGATCAAGTCAATGAGAACAATTTTCAAGGGTTGGATTTACTTGACTTGTATATATCAGTGATCTCTTGAACAAGTGACCAATCTACCTTCAGAAAACTAAATTAAGGGCTTCAGCTTGGTTGGATTTTTAAATATTATAGTTTTCCTTGCCGGTGTGGACATAACATGAATTTTAGTTCAAAATTCTGTATTCACTATAATAAATACATAAAATGCCTTCAGTTCTTTGAAGATTTTTTTTTAATTATTTCTGAGAGAGAGAGAGAGACAGTGTGAGCAAGGGAGGGTTAGAGAGAGAGGGTGACACAGAATCTGAGCTGTCAGCACAGATCCCAACGTGGGGCTTGAACTCACGAACTGCGAGGTCATGACCTGAGCCGAAGTCAGACGCTTAACCGACTGAGCCACCCAGGCACCCGTGAAGAGTTTTAATATACTGCAGTAATTAAATGACTTATCAAAGGAGACTGAGTAAGGAGAGGTCTAAGTCAACATTTTTGTGGAATTTTTGACCAAATGTTTTCAGGCCCTAAATCAAATAATAGATTTTTCTTTTTACCTCCCTCTCTTGTTTGTTCCATTTTACTTCGTTTTTCTCTCTCTTTCCCTCCCTCCCTCCTCTCTTCCCTTCCTTCCTCTTCCTTCCCTCCCTCCCTGTTTCCTTCCTGCCCTCCTCTCTCCCTTCTTCCTTCCCTCTCTCTTTTCTTCAGTAATGCAGTGAGTAAAAATTTAGAACAACAAAACCAGAAATCAATCAGAAGATTTTTATTTAAAAAATAACCTTTAAAAAAAAGAAATCCTCCTTATTTTCTACTCAAGGTAACATGAAGTGATAATCAGGTAATAATGGCCATATGTTTACTGCCTTCTCAGTGCCCTCTTCATAAATACTTCCTACCTGAACTTTCTCAGAGATGTGAACAAAGCAGAGGAGCCCCTCAGTTCTCCCTTCCGTAACCCCATCTTAGAAGAGGCAGTCTTCTTCTTCTTCTTTTTTTTTTTTTACAAATAGTTTATTGTCAAGTTGGTTTCCATATAACACCCAGTGCTCATCCCCACAA